AAACATACAGGATATTATTATATAACTAAGCAGCTGGGAATATTAATCATGATTAAAAATAAAAGGGAAAACACACAGTACACCAAGGCAAGACTTTATTTTTGTTTTTTGTTTGTTTGTTTGTTTTTGAGACAGAGTCTCACTGTGTTGCCCAGGCTGGAGTGCAGTGGCACGATCTCAGCTCACTGCAACCTCCGCCTCCTGCCTCCTGGGTTCAAACAATTCTCCTGCCTCAGCCTCCCAAATAGCTGGGACTACAGGCTCCTGCCACCACACCTGAATAATTTTTGTATTTTTAGTAGAGATGGGGTTTCACACCATGTTGACCAGGCCGGTCTTGAACTCCTGACCTTGTGATCTGCCCGCCTCAGCCTCCCAAAGTGCTGGGATTATAGGCGTGAGCCACCACAAGAAAACAGTATTTACACAGGGGAATAAAATGTTAACCCACAGACTTATCAAATAACAATAAAGACATTCATATCTGATGAATGTTAAGCCACAGACTTATCAAATAACAATAAAGATATCTCGTATCTGATTTGAAATGCACTGCTTATCTAAAGATATGATTACATTAGAAACATTGTAAATAATCTCCTTGGGGATATACACGAACTACATGTGTTATGGACCATTTGTGAAGTACTTGTTTTCAAATTTCATGTCATTCTTAAAATCCAAACACCTTAATGTGGCATATGATTTCTTTATCCGCCCAGCCTCACTTCCTTACTCTGCTTTCCGGCTGTACTTAACGACCTGGTTTCCTCAATATCCCATGTGTCGCCCAGACGCCACAGCTTTACACAGACTTCCAGTTCCATTTTTCTCATATCTAGTTTGTCCTTCACATATCAGACAGAACCCCAGTTTACATTTCTTGAGAGCCCCACCCCACATTATACTACAGCATGTTCATTCAAATCACAAAGATTTCTGGAGCAGCAACCGGATCTACTTTAGGTTCGGGGTATACAAAGATAAATAAAACATTGTCTTACACTCGAGTAACATGGCTAATTGCGAGAGAAATGTATAAACAATAGTTAAAAGACAACAGGCATTTTGGGAGAAGAAAGCACAGGTGTGCTTTGTGAAGTCAGCCACAAATTGCAGATCCCTTGTTATTAATCCACCAGCCACCAATTCTCCTGAACCACTGGTCAGAAGCACAAGTGTTTAGAGTAAGCAAGGAACATGAATGTTTGAGTCAAGCTGAGTTTGAGATAATAGCTCGTGCCTGGACCTGTGGCCAATTGGAAGATACATCCTGTTTAAGACATTCCATTTCTCATTCTTTTTCAAATGCCATGCTTGCAAAACAAAATATGCCTGCAGGCCTCATTTGGTTCAGGCTGCCAGTCTGTGTCTTTTGTACAATAATATTAACACGTGTTGTTTACTACATGTAGGTCACTATTCTAAGTACTTTACATGGAGAAACTCATTTATTCTCACAACCACCACTGAGGTTGATAGGCTTTTGCCTATTTTACAAATGGAGCAACACAGGCTTGGAGTAACATGCTGAGGTTACACAACTCTTAGGGTGGTAGAGATGGGATTGAACCCACACAGGCTCCTCTAGAATTCAGACACTTTTTTTTTTTGAGTGATGGTCTCTCTCTGTCGCCCAGGCTGCAGTGCAGTGGTGCAATCTTGCTTTGGCTCACTACAACCTCTGCCTTCTGTGCTCAAACAATCCACCCACCTCAGCCACCAGGGTAGCTGGAACTACAGGCCTTCGCCACCATGTCCAGCTAAATTTTATATTTTTTGTAGAAATGGGATCTCGCCATGTTGCTCAGTCTGGTCTTGAACTCCTGGTCTCAAGGGATCTACCTGCCTCAGCCTCCCAAAGTGCTGGAATTATAGCTATGAGCCACCAGGCCCAGCTCACACTCTTAAAAGTGCTTCACATCACTGTACAATACTTTACTGCCCTGTAGCTAATAACTCTTTGTATTTTTCAGCTTATACTACAGAATGAGTTACATCTTTAATAATTTATTGTGCCAAATACTCCTTTTTGCTGTTGAACAAACTCTTAACTAGTATATACTGATATGATAGAAAAATTCATGTCTACCTATCTATTCATTGTTCCATAAATTTAATCACCTTCCTTTTTTACCAGTATCTTTCTCATTTGAAGGGTCCTAATTTTTAAGAAATAACTTTGCAGTTACCCAAAAACTATACATAGAAAAAAGTAGGTAAAATGAAGTGTCAAAATTATTTTAATGCATTCCCCCAACCCTTCTCCCCTCCTTTTGACCCATTTCCAGCACTCTCCCCAGCTCTGGACCTGTGCTCCTTGTAGGAACAAACAGTAGGATGTTTGGTTTGGTTTTGTTTCCAACCACATCATGTTTACAGCTCTAAGGATCTTTCTGAACAAGGCAATTGATAAAGCCAATGTCTTCAGATAAGTCCAATTTATATGAGCTAAAACATATCCAAGGGTACCTAGGGATTTGCTGAAATGGAAAAAACATAAACTCGCAAGTCTTTGATCTTAATTCAGTGTTTCAGTAGATCAGGGGATGTGGCCACTTCTTATTCACAAACTTTCCTAAGAACTCGGGACATTCTGTTCTTTTTACTTAAGTAAGTTAATGCCAAAAAAGTCGAGTCTTGACATAGGCCATCCATTCTGTTTCCTGGCCTTTGTACATACTGCTTCTTAGGCCAGGACCTCCCCACAAAAACATCAACACCCCATCCCCAAGCTCTGGGAAATGTTCTTTGACTGCCAAGGCGGCTAAGTATCCCCCCACACTCCCATGTCATATATACCCAGTGACCAGCATCTAATACCTATTTCAATTGCCTATTTCTCTCTTACCTAATTTGTAGATGGAATTTATATAGTAATTACCTTTTTAAACTAATTTATATCTGAAATTTAAGCAATAATACTTATTTCTAAAAAATGTTGTACATTTGAGCCTTTAAACTTGACAGTTTATTGTGTATCTCAAGAATGGTAAAAATAATATTAATGGGCTTTGGCATTGAATTAACGGGGGTTTGGCGTCCAGCTGTAGTACTAATGCCTCCATGGCCTTCAACTTCACATCTCTGAGACTGTTTTACCATTTGGAAAATAAAGACCTACGTCATTATGAGGGTTAAAGCATATAAGTGCAAAGTACACCACCTGTTCGAGTTTGTGTTCAATAGGTATTAGCTATAGTTACATTTCTCAAGAATTCAATTTCATCAAAAGGAGAGACTTAACCAAGAGCAGAGAAAGACTACTGCCAATTGAGAACTACCCAAAACTTATTTCATAATGATATGCAACTTTACCTACATTGAGATTAATCTGTAATTTATACTTACTGTTATAAGCTATCCACCTATTCAATATCAAAGTACATCTAAAATGGGTTGAAAATGTATCTGACTCCTTTAAAATATTCTAATCAAACCCCAGAGGATTTGAAAAATCAAAAAGAATGCCAGCATCATCTAAGGGAGTATCTTTTAAGCCAGGAAATTAAAAGTACAGTAAATTTCACTGACAAAGACTCCACTTGAATCTCTAGATTGATAACTCTAGTTCATCCAGATCTCTAAGGATCAAATTTAAAATGGTTTAGAAAGTATTTTGAAATTATTTGCTTAATAATAAGTTGGCTTCTGAGCCAGTAAAGAATCCACTAATCCTCCTTTTTAAGATCCTTAGAAAGGAACCAAGACACTTAGCAGCTGATTGCTGCCAAATTTAACCTGGGAAGACCTGCAGACAATGCTCACTAACAAAGACTCTCTGATGAACTTTTTAACCCTGGATCACTCAGAATCCCAAGAGGAAACATGTCCCATTTCCTTGTATTTTCCTTTTTTTTGGGGGGGGGGGATGGAGTCTCACTCTGTTGCCCAGGCCAGAGGACAGTGGTGTGATTTCGGCTCACTGCAACCTCTGCCTCCCGGGTTCAAGCGATTCTCCTGCTTCAGCCTCCTGAGTAGCTGGGATTATAGGCACGTGCCACACCACACCTGGCTGATTTTTGTATTTAAGTAGAAACAGAGTTTCAGCATGTTGGCCAGGCTGGTCTTGAACTCCTGACCTCAGGTGATCCACCTGCCTTGGTCTCCCAAAGTGCTGAGATTACGGGCATGAGCCACCATGCCCAGCCCCACTTCCTTGTATTTTCATTTGAGGATAAGCTGAATGGTTCTCTAGAGCCACAGAATTAAACAAGGGAACATACATTCAGCATCAGTACCAACTAAGAGTCTACTAACATATACAACCACATTGCACATACATTCAATTACATATTTATCTCCGCTTGCTCTCAATCAGAAGGCATTCTAGGTGTGTGGTGGGGGTGATGTCAAGATGATTGAGACAATGTGTTCTTGTGCTTCAAAAGCTCTCAGTTTGAATTTGCAAAAATGTAACATTTTAAGCCACTTACAATTTAAGTAGGCACCAATTCAGAGCTGACACCAAATACTTAAATGAGATAGAGTAGAATGGGGCAGGAGACAAGACTACTGAAAATACAGGAAAAAGGAAACTGTGGCATAATCCTGGTCCTGAGAGTGAGATTCATTCAGAGTCAGATCGACCAATGGCCAGCAATGTAAAAAATTTTAGTTTTTGCAATTGGTATGTATTTTATAATCTAAAAGTTTTTTATTATTAATTATTATTCATCTGTTTTGAGACAGGGTCTCGCTCTGTCACCCAGGATGGGGTACACTCACTCCTCACTGCAGCTTCACCCTCCTGGGCTCAAGTGATCCTCCCACCTCAGCCTTCCTAGTAGCTGGGCATGTTACCACACCTCGCTAGTTTATGTATTTTTGATAGAGATGGGGTTTTGGATGTTGCCCAGGCTGGTCTCAAACAATTTAAAGGTTTAATGAATAAAAATGTGCCTTATTTTGTAGGTTTTTAGGAAAAGCAAACAAGAACACTGATGACAGTATACAGCACTCATCACTGGGATGCAATGTATAGCACAGAATGTACAGTATAAAGTGTAGCACCTCCTTAATGGATGCACAATACAGTACTGTTAATATCACTTATACAAACTTTGTCAATACAGTTTTGTTCATGATCATGATAATGCTGAATGACAAAGTGAAGCAGTGGGATTAACAAAAAAGCAAAAGCTTCCAGATTAGCCAGAGCTAACGTCAAATTAAGGCTCTAGCTCTCGACAGCCACTCCGGCCTTAAAGAATTCATCATCATGGATAAATGTTTACACAAGATTGTAAAGATTAAATGTTAGGGATAGAAAGCCTGCAACACATGACTGATACTCCTCAAATATTAATTTCACTCTTTGTGACCCCTAAATGCATCTTCCAGCTGTTCTGAACACCTGGGTTGTAGCTGCTCAGCATGTAAGCTCCTATGATAACCTGAGCCCTTTCCCCTTTCCTTCCCCAGTTGTGAAGGTAGGATGACATTCCCTCTCCCTGCCCGCTGGCTCAAGTGTGGCTTACAGCCTAGGCACAGCTAAACTGATATTCCCTGTTGGAGCTCCAGCTTCCAGGGACAGCACAGCAGACACCGTCTGGGCTGGTGGTGACAGTGGCGGTGCCTCTGCCAGAATCTCAGCAGTGTCTTGGCACCCTAGTCCCAGAGCAGCTTCTTATCAATTTTGTGAGCCACTGAACATCACATCCAATAAATTCATTTTCTCTTTAACAGTCACTTACCGTTGTTCCCAAATAAGAATCCTAACTTTATAAAACCGATAGACTAGAATTAACTTCAGTGCCATGAATTAATATATTTTTCTCCATGACTGAATATACAAATATAATGGAAGTAATGAATTCTTCTGCTGTAAAGATGGGTGGAATATATCAAAATCTACTCGCTGAATTTTCTTTAGAAAGTCCTCTAGAGAAACCTGGAAAAAAGAGGGTAGTGATCATCAGATCATAAAATGATCAAATCTTTAAAAAAAAAAAAAAAAACTAAATATTACAAGTATTTAGGCTATTTTATTTTCCAAGATGGTCTTCTATATAATAAGAGTTTAAGTGAGAATTTTTAAAGAGAAAAAGAAAATAAAAAGATGTCTAAGAAGTTTCTATTAGACAAGTAAAAGGTTGTCAAGGAGCTAGTACCAGAAAAACTAAGCCTCTTCTGCTCATAATATATAAGGCTTTGATCAAGATATAAAGGATTAGCAAAACCATGTTTGCCTGGCCTTAGTCTAGATTCAGTGGAATGCAAAAAGGCTGTTTCAATCAGGGAAAATGAAACATCCCCACCCCGAACCCCTAAATGTAGTGTACCATGAGGGGGAGCTCAAGTTGCCTTTTTAAAAAATTATTTTGTAAAGAGGTTGAACAGGTCTCCCGGTTGTTGCCAGAGCACATGATTTTCAACCAGGCAAAATTATCACAGGTCTCTATAACTATCACCCCATCCTTCCCTCACCACAAGAAACTTGACAAAGTTTTTACAAGGATTGCAGCAGGATAAAAAACACCAACGAAGTGCACTATCTTTACTTTTGGTTTTCAGTTGTCTTGATTAATTTATAAATTTTCATTTTAGTTTAGTCAGATTTTTGTTAAACAGGCAGGTCACATAGTTTTGTGCTCCACACCAGACCTCCTCAGTCCACATGAACAGCGCCCCCTAGAGTTCTGCAGCACAGAACCTGGGTAATCAATGCAGGGATTATGCCTATAGATTCTTTAAAATATGCAGATGAGAACAAAGAAAACAAAACTATTTTCTTCCAGACTTTTTCCATACTTTTATAAATATGAGTGAAATATAAACAAATTCATTATCTACTTTTTAAAACCCTAAATGTACACACATAGACGACAGGAGATACATGCATCAATGTGCCCAGCTGCCTTGTTTTAGATTAGCAAGAAACTTAGAAACAATCCAGAGACCAGGCGTGGTGGCTCGCACTTATAATCCCAACACTTTGGAAGACCAAGGCAGGTGGATTGCTTGAGCTTAAGAGTTAATACCAAGCTGGGCAACATGGCAAAACCCCATCTCTACAAAAAACACAAAAACAATTAGCTGAGTGTGGTGGTGCACGCCTGTGGTCCCAGCTACTTAGGAGGCTGAGGTGGGAGGATGGCTTGCGGCTGGGAGGTCAAGCCTTGCAGTGAGCCTGCACTCTAGCCTGGTGACAGAGACCCCATCTCAAAAAAAAAAAGAAACAGTCCAGAAATTCTTTGAAAAAAAGAGGAATAGATTGTACAATGAAATATTAATATTATACTGCAGTGAAGTGAATGTACTATAGCTAGATGCAGTAATATGCCCAAATCTCAGAAACATGAAGAGTGTGCGCATGTCCTAGAAGACATAAATAGAAAATGATCCATTTTTATAAAGCTCAAAAACAAAACTTAGCATTATGTTGTTCAGGAATATATAAAATGATGAAAGCCTTCTTGGAATAAAAGCAAGGAAATGAAACACATAAAATTAAGGAAAGCTACCTGAAAGAGGAAGGCAGTGGCGGGGGATGAGATGGGAAAAACATGAGTCCAATTTAATGGTGACATGCTAGTTCATGGATTCAGTGGTGAGTTCATGGGTGTTTATTATGCTCTACATTGCAATATATACACCTAGACAGATATATTCATTGAACATATAGCGAGTATTAACAATTTTAAAAGAGATTAAAAGAAAAAATTTAAAAATATTTCTGTGTACTTTCTTTCACATGTTCCTGTTTTGAAAATATTTTAGTCCACTTCCTTTCAGATGCTCCCTTTTTTTGCATAAAGGAGCTCATGCTATTTGATGTTCTGTAACTTACTTTTTTTATCCCTTACTATACTGTGATCGACTTGCCACCTGTAAGAATTATGTTAATTTTAATATCTTTATGATATCTAGTTATAATAGTTAACAAAATTAAGGTATAGACACAATAGATTATATAGCCATTACATGTATTTATAATTTTTTTAAATGATTCCAAAATATGCTCAATAAGCAATGCACTAACATATGAAGTGTAATTTCAACTATACACAAAAATTCATTTCCAAAAACCCCAGAATGACTAGCAGTTATCTTGGAGTGTTAGAATTATAGGTGATTTTTTTTTTTAATGGAATGCTTCATGAATTTGCATGTCATCCTTGCGCAGGCGCCATGCTAATCTTCTCTGTATCATTCCAATTTTAGTATATATGCTGCCGAAGCAAGCATGGGTGATTGCTATTTTCTTCTAATACTGCTTATATTGTCCAAATCTTTACTATAAACATGTATTTCTTTTAGAATTAGGAGAAAATTCCATTAAAATACAGAGGAGATGTGACCTCAAAATTAGACAGAGCTCAAGTGGATATTTATACATCAGTCTTTTGTTCAAAGGAAAGTCTGGCTAATGGTAAATAAACTGAGTAACAAATTGATGGTGAAACTCTCAAAGACATTACAAATTTCTAAATATGAATTCTGGAAACCTCATCTATGAAGAATATACTACACCTACACTAGTCACGTTCAAAGAGTTTTTAAACTGCAAATCCTTTCTTTGAACAAAATAATTAACAGATGCCCCATATATGAAACAAGTAAAAGCCCTGTCCAAGCTGGAACAAGGGTATATGACAAAAGCAGTTCCTCAGCAATTGCTATGCTGCCCCTCTAGTCTCTCTTGGCACAGGATAGAAACTGAGAGCTGGGGCTGGGCGTGGTGACTCACACCTGTAATCTCAGCACTGTGGAAGGCCAAGGCAGGCAGATCACCTGAGGTCAGGCGTTCGAGACCAGCCTGGCCAACATGGCAAAACCCCTCCTCTACTAAAAATACAAAAATTAGTGGGGCATGGTGGCACATGCCTGTAATCCCAGCTACTTAGGAGGCTGAGGCAGGAGAATCACTTGAACCCAGGAGGCAGAGGCTGCAGTGAGCCGAGGTCATGCCACTGCACTCCAGCCTGAGCAACAGAGCAAGACTCAGTCTCAAAAAATAAAATGTTGAGAGCTAGGCTCCAGCCCCAGAGTTTCTGATTAAGCAGGTCTGTGGTGGAGCCCAAGATCCGCATTTCTAACAAGTTCCCCAGTGAGGAGGATATTGCTGATCCAGGGACCACATTTTGGGAACCACTGGTCTATGATAGTGGTTTTTAGGCCTAGCCGCACTTCACAGTTAAAACTAAAGGAGGCTGGGCACGGTGTCTTATGCCTGTAATCCCAACACTCTAAGAAGTCAAGGTTGGAAGATTGCTTGAGTCCAGGAGTTCAAGATCAGCCTGGATAACATAGTGAGATTCCACCTCTTCCAAAAAGAATTCCTAATTAGCTAGGTGTGGTGGTACACACCTTAACTCCCAACTATTTGGGAGGATGAGGTGGGAGATCACTTGAGCTCAGAAGGCTGAGACTGCAGTGAGCCATGACACCGCCACTGCACTCCAACCTGGGCAACAGAGTGAAATTTTGTCTAAAAAAAAAAAAGGGGCCAGCCACCGTGGCTCACACCTGTAATCCTAGCACTTTGGGAGGCCAAGGTGGGTGATCACTTGAGGCCAGGAGTTCAAGACCAGCCTGGCCAACATGGCGAAACTGTGTCTCTGCTAAAAATACAAAAAAATTAGCTGGGTGTGGTGGTGCAAATCTGTAATCCCAGCTACTTGGGAGGCTGAGGCAGGAGAATCACTTGAACCGGGGAGGCAGAGGCTGCAGTGAGCCAAGATCATACCACTGCACTCTAGCCTGGGTAATGGAGTGAGACTCTGTCCCCCGCCTCAAAAAAAAAGTACAGTAAAGGGAAAGATTTTAAAAAGTATCAACGCCTGGGTCCACCAATTTAATTGGTCTGGGGAGGGGTGGCCGAGCATTGTTTAGATTTTTTTAACGCTCTCCAAGTGATTGTAATAGGCAGCCAGGATTGAGAATAACCTTTTTCACAGAAGTTAATAAACAAAGTCCTTAACCTTCATGAAGCTTACTTAATACGTTAAACAGCTGATGGCATATCCATCAAATAACCACTAAACAGGATGATACAGAATAATGTGCTGACATACACAAAATACATGCATGGTTATAGGAAGATGAAAGGTTCAGAAAGATGAACAGACATTATCTCTAGATAGGATGGAATTGTGAGAGCTCTAATTTCTTCTTTTGTATTCTCTTACACTATGAACATTTAAAATATTAATGGACTACTTTTATAATTAGCAAACCCAATAAAGAAACAAAATTATTTCAAAGACAGACCTGAAACTAAGATAGAGGATGTGAAGAGATCGAAATGAATCTCTCAATAGAAAAAGGTAGAAGATACATTTGGTATTACAAAAAATGTGTAAGTTTACGCTTTTCAAAGATTTCAAATCTTTGAACCTTGGTTTCTATCTATAAAATGAAGTAACCATATTTTTGATAGGAAGACTAGGAATAATGATGGAATGACCTAACCCAAGGCCTGTCTCATAAAAGGTGCTAAGTATTTGGTAGCAATTATGATTTCTCTACATGTTTTAGAACAACAGTTCCCAAACCTGTCTATACATCAGAATCACCTGGGGAACTTTTTAAAATCGCAGATTCTCCTAGGAGCTGGTCTCCTCCTCCTCAATCCCAAAAGTCTTACTTAGTAAGAAGACTCTAGAAATTTATATTTTAAAAACGTTTTCCAGGTTAGCCCCCTGCAACCAGCTTAGGAGTGGGCTATGAACCACTGTTCTGGAACCAGTGCTACAATATGGTCAGGTCACAATGGAGAAAAAAGTGAACAGAATAGTAATACTTACATAGCTACAAGCAGCCTAACAACCCTACAAGGTAGTTTCTCCTATTATTCCCATTTCACCTATGAGTAAGCTGAGGAATGCGGTGATTAAGAACTTAAGGTGGGGGGTGGGGGGAGAATGAGGAGGGATAACACTGGGAAAAATGCCTGATGTAGGCGACGGGTTGTGGCAGGGAATGGAGACAGCAAACCACCATGGCATGTATATACCTATGCAACAATCCTGCAAGATGCAGGATGTGCACATGTAACAATCCTGCAGGATGCAAGACGTGTACATGTACCCCAGAGCCCAAATACAATAACAAAAAAAAAAAAAAATATATATATATATATATATATATTGCATAAAATTATTTTCAGGCTATGTGTATAACGTATATATGAAACAGAAAAGAAGTATGTGTTTAAATTTGGGTCCTGTTCCCAAAATACTTTATTATGTAGATACAAATATTCCAAAATCCAAAAAATATCTGAAATATGAAACACTCTGGTCCCATGCATTTTGGATAAGGGATACCCAACCTCTCCATGAATCTCATCAGAAAATATGCATTAAACACCCCAAAGAAAACACAGGTAAGTAAACTTTTATACTGAAAAAAAAAAAGACCTTAAGGTCCCATTGGTAGTAAGGGGCAAAACAGATTCAAGCCAATGCAATCTGGCTGCAAAGTCAGTGCTAAAACCTTAGCTCACCTGCCTCTGAGAAATACAGAAATGACCCTCAGCAAAAGCATCAGTAACTAATGAAGGCTACCATGAGGGAGGGAAACAAAAACAAAGGCTCCAAACTAAAGAAATACATTGGGAACTTTATAAAATATAAAAACAGATCATACACATCTGTTTCACTAATTATACAGCCTTCTCTGTTAATCTACTTACCGTTTGAAGAAAAGCAGGAAATGCTTTCACAGGAACACTTTTGTGAAAGGACCTAGCCTAAAAAGAAAGAGGAAAGGAAGCTGGTTTAAAATTAAGCAAATAAACACTCTCCCTCTGAAAGCAACACCAGCAGTTTAACAATACTGATAGGGCTTCTCTCAAATGCAAGAAAACAGCTCATCTCCTGCAGATTCAGATTAGTTTTCTAAGCCTAAAGGACTCAGGAAAAAGTAACTACTCTATTAAAAATTCCATCCTTTCTTATAAATTGGCTTTAGTGTCTGCCAGCTACCTTACAATATCTCATAATAACTTTGACTCCCCAGCCCTGTGGTAAGGGGAAAACAAAGAATTATTTGCATTACCAAGTCTTGTGCACCATTGGTTTAGACTGACATGATCTCCTGTTTAAATGACGAAGATCCTCCTAGGTCATCTTCCTGCCTGTGTTCCCTGACCATTAATTCATCTTACGCAGCCAGACAAATTAATGTCTTTACATCATCATTTCATTTTTACCTTCTTTAATTCCCTGATTGGTCAAGTTTCAACGATTCATCCTGGAATTCAAAGGCCTCCATATCTTGACTCTAATCTTGTCCATCAAACCTAACTCCCTACCACTCTGGGCTACGAACACCTGGTCTCTCAGGCTGTTATCCATCATCCTGTGTTCGCCAAGCCCACTCTTGTCTCCATGTCTTCATTTATACAGTCCGTAACACCAGGAAGAGCCCTCTACTTCCTCACTTCTTAACTCTTTACATTCCAGTTTGACTCCAACCATCTACTAAAATTACTCTACAATCATCCATGATTTACTAATCACCACAGCTATCTTTTCTCTTCACTTTTCTGTAGCATGTAAAACTCTGATATTCCTCTTTCTTAAATCTTCTCCTCCCTTGATTTTCAAGAAACTGGCTCTCAGTTTTATTTCTATGAAGATTCTTTCCTTCTCCTTCTTCCGAATAAATGGCCCTTTCTCCTTTTACCTTGTAAATGGAGGTGGGCCTCAGGGTTCTGCCCCTGGCCCTCTGTACATTCTCCTTCAGCAACCCCATCCAAAGTTAGAGCTTTAATTATAATTCTTTTATGTGGATGACTCCCAAATACATCATCTTTAGTCCTGACTTCCTTTAAAAGTCACAGTCCTGCATTCTTCAATAAACCATCTCCCTAAATGTCCTCTAATCCCCTCAAATTCAATTACGTTCAGCAGCTGGTCCAAAGTCTAACAAACTGCACCAAACATATCATTAGTTTGTTTCTGGTATTACTGTAGCTTTTGAATGGCACCATCAAAGTGCCATACTTGAATTCTTCATGCAGCCTTCAACTTTCCCTCCACCTGATCTTGCCACATCCAATTAGTTATCAAGCCTAGTTAATGCTACTTCAGTTATTTGTGTGCATGTGTGTATACATACATATAAATGTACATACACATACATAAACATCTATTGTCTCAAAATCAGACACTCTTTCTCCTTCTCCTAAGTCTCCTAACTGATCACCCAACCTCTAAACTCTCTTGTCTCAAACACTGCTGGCAGGGTTTCCTACTCTGTAACACCAATATCACTTTTATTTGATCATGATGATGATGATGAAAACTAACATATTTCACTTACAATATGCTGCACTACATTATAAATTCTTCATATATGTTAACTTATTTATCCAAATAAGTTAGATCACTTAAGCTAGGTGCTAAAATGATCCTCTAATACAGATGAAGAAACTGAAGCACAGAGAGGGTAAGATTACATGATTAGTAAATGGCAGAATTAGGATTTAAAATCAGGCTTCTGGTTCCAGAGTTTGCACTCTCATCCACAATACTCTAATGCCTCTCAAAAGCCTCTACAACTCCATAATCTTTCTTTAATCCACATTCCAAACCTATCTTCCAGGACCATATTACCTATACACCAGTGGTATTCAAACCTGGCTGTTTAAAATTATTTGGAAATTTGAATTACTGGCCCCATCCCAGGTTTACTGCCCCAATCTCCAAGGAGTGAGGCCTGGAAATCTGTATTTCTCAGGTGCCTTACATGTCCTTTGACTGGGATTGCTCAGGTTCCACACAAGTCCAAGGCTTTCCTGCCTCTCATGATTCTGTAATGTGCTCAGATCTTACCCAAAACTCTGCTAGTTAATCCTAAGTAATTTCTCATCTAAAGTTCCATGTATTTTATCTATACCTCTGTCAGGGAAGAGAACTCTTAGATATTCAGGAAATTTTTAAAAGCTGAAGATAGTCTTTGCCCTCAAAGAGCTTACATTCTGGTTACTTATGTATTCAATATTTACTGAGTGCTTATAATGTAATCAGGTACTTTAGATGCTGAAGAATATAGTACAGAATCAAACAAAGTCACATTCCAATGAAGTGGGGAGGCAATAAGCAAACTTTTTTTTTATTGAGATGGAGTCTCACTCTGTCACCCAGGCTGGAGTGCAGTGACACGATCTCAGCTCACGGAAACCTCTGCCTCCCAGGTTCAAGCGATTCTCCTGCCTCAGCCTCCCAAGTAGCTGGGACTACAGGTACATGTCACCACGTGGGCTGGGTTAATTTTTTGTATAGTTAGTAGAGAAGGGGTTTCACTGTGTTAGCCAGGATGGTCTCGATCTCCTGTCCTCATGATCTACCTGCCTCGGCCTCCCAAAGTGCTGGGATTACAGATGTGAGCCACTGCCCCCAGCCAACAAGCAAACTTAATGTCAGGTGGCGAAAAGTGCTAAGCCACTTAAGGAGACTGAGGGTGATAGAAAAGGAAGATATTCCTTTAGGTAAAGTGGCCAGGGAAGCTTTTCTGATACAGTGATATTTGAGTACTAACTGAAGTGGAGGTGGGGTAGAGGGGAAAAAGCAGGAAAAAGAGCAAGTGCAAAACCCTTGTGGTAGGCAGGTAAGTGTCCAACTCTTTAGAATCTACTGAAGATTTTTTTTTAAAAAAGGGTAACAAGAAGTACTAGGAAAAATGAGCATATGAGACCTAAGGAATAGAAAGTTTCCACCAAGTCTTCAAGAGCCACTGAAATTAGGAAACACTTCAAGGAGAACCAGAAAGGAATAACACCATGGAGATGAACGACAGACAATTTCAAGAAGATGAGTAGAGTCAACAATGTCAAATTCCAAACAAAAGTCTTGGAAAAGTTTAAGAGAGGAGAACTAACTCTTAGAGAACAACTAAAGTGACAGGCAGGAGAAATCAGGAGTTAGTTCAGGAGTCACGTAAGAGAATCAATGGAAGAAAAGTCAGAAAGTAACATGGAGAGAAAGGCGTCTATGCTGTCAAAAAAGAAGACCAACCTGGCTAACATGGTGAAACCCCGTCTCTACTAAAAATGCAAAAAAATTAGCTGGCATGGTGGCATGTACCTGTAGTCCCAGCTACTCAGGAGGCTGAGGCAGGAGAATCACTTGAACCCAGGAGACAGAGGTTGCAGTGAGCTGAGATCACACCACTGCACTCCAGCCTAGGCGACAGAGTGAGACTCCATCTCAAAAAAGAAAAAAAAGAAGAGTTCACGAAAACGAGTTGTAAATGACCATTAAATCTGGTAATAAGGAGAGTATTTACTAGTGATTGTTTATTAGAGTGGGCAGGATACAAGCCAAACCATAGCATCATGAGCACTGCCAAGGTGGTAAGGGCCTGAGGTAACAGTGAACACAGAACACTTCCTTCCCATAGGGAAGGAAGGAGAGAAAGGTATCAACAGAAAGATTCACAGGCTGCCTGTAAATTCAGAAGGCAGCACCAACAAACCAGAAGATAAAAGAGGCCACATGTCAGGGAAGCAAACTGAAAACACCAGCTGGGGGTTGCTGAGGATGCAGCCCCTGGGAAGAGGAGGAGAGGCATCGGCCTTGGAAGGCGGAAAGACACCCTATCTTCCGAGAGAGAAGCGGATGGATCACAAAGGAGCCACATGAGAAAGCACAGGCTTGATTAACTCAGTAAAGGATGCATTCATGTGCTATAAGGTGTGGGGAGGAATTTTTTTAGGTGAGAAAAGTTTACAACAGACTCAAGATAAATCTACTGGGAAATCAATGAAAAATGGAATAAAAGACTGCCAAGTTGGGAATATCATAACCATGTTCTAAGAATAGCCACATCTAGAAATGATTATTCCCTAAATGATTTGGCAAAAAAAAAAAAAAAAAAAGGCCTACTTACATGTTTAAGGTGCAAGTGTGCCTGACTGGCAATGTCATATATTACATCTCTCACATTTTTATCTTGGTTCCTCCGTAGAAAGTCCTCCTGTGAAACACCATGCTGTGTAGGGAAATATACATTATATTAGGAATCTAAAAGCACAATTAAAACTAACTTAGCATAAGAAAATAACTGACAGAAGAGTATGTACAGTTTAATGCCTATTTTGTCTTTTAAAATGTGTATATGTGTGTGTATGCATGTGTACATGTGTGTAGAGAGAAAATGAGAATGAGAGAGACACCTGGAACATGCAAGGCCGGGCGCGGTGGCTCAAGCCTGTAATCCCAGCACTTTGGGAGGCCGAGGCGGGTGGATCACGAGGTCAAGAGATCGAGACCATCCTGGTCAACACGGTGAAACCCCGTCTCTACTAAAAATACAAAAAATTAGCTGGGCATGGTGGTGCGTGCCTGTAATCCCAGCTACTCAGGAGGCTGAGGCAGGAGAATTGCCTGAACCCAGGAGGCGGGGGTTGCGGTGAGCCGAGATCGCGCCATTGCACTCCAGCCTGGGTAACATGAGTGAAACTCCGTCTCAAAAAAAAAAAAAAAAGAGAGAGAGTCACCTGGAACATGCAATAACATTTTTTGTTTTTTGAGACAGGGTCTCACTCTGTCACCCAGGCTGGAGTACAGTGGTACAATCATGGCTCATTATAGTCCAACTTCCCAGGCTCAAGGGATCCTCCCACCTTAGCCTCCCAAGTAGCTGGGACTATAGGTATACACCAACACATCCAGCTAATTTTTGTATTTTTTGTAGAGATGGGGTTTCGCCATATTGCCCAGGCTGGTCTCAACCTCCTGGGCTCAAGTGACCCTCCCAAAGTGCTGGGATTACAGGCATGAGTCACCAATCCTGGCTACAACAAGATGTTAATTAACAAGTTATAGGTAGAATGAAAATATCCAAGCAAGAAAACAAACATACAAAAAGTTTGAAAGAACAGATAATAATGAATCTTATATCAAAAACAAAGTTCTTGCCGGGTGCTGTGGCTCATGCCTGTACTCCTAGCACTTTGGGAGGCCGAGGTGGGTGGATCACAAGATCAGGAGATTGAGACCATCCTGGCTAAAGAGTGAAACCCTGTCTCTACTAAAAATAAAAAAATTAATCAGGCATGGTGGCATGAGCCTGTAGTCCCAGCTACTCAGGAGGCTGAGGCAGTAGAATCACCTGAACCTGGGAGGTGGGAGTTGCAGTGAGCAGAGATCGAGACACTGCACTCCAGCCCGGGCAACAGAGTAAGACTCCATCTCAAAAAAAAAAAAAAAAGAAAACAAAGTTCTCATAAACAGATACTTAAAATGGATTACTTCCAATAGAATAAAATAAAGAACAGGCTAAGGTGAACACTAGGAATAATTACTGCAATTGCTTGGAAGGGAGCATGGCATCAACATGAATCTACACCAAATGAGGCTCTCTGGACCTTCCTACTCATAGCTCCTCCAGAGATCTCAAATGCCTGATGGACACAATTCTGACTTGATAACTCTGGGATAAAAAGAGGAAGACCATTTTCAAGTAAACAATAAGCATTCCTTTCAAAGCAATTACTTGAATAGACTAAGCAACAAAGCAAGAGATGACTTCCTTCCCCATATTCCTGAGGTAAAATTATTCGAAGATGCAAATTGTAGCCTTACCAGCATACAAATATCCATGGGAAGGAACACCTTTCTTCTGCTCACATGATATGGCGTTGCTCTCAAGCAAGTGACAATGCCTTGTGCTTTTCCAATATGACTTGCAGCATGATCTGCATGAAGATCCTTTATACCTATGATTTCAGAAATTATACAGGGCTGCTCTGTTTAAGTGCATAATAAATCAATAAAATGGCATAGAGAAATCACCTAAACATGTAAAACTAGATGTTTATTCTATGTTTTATATCTGAAAAACAGGATTTATGAGTGGAAAAACTGGGCACAAAAACAAGTTGACCATTTACCACTAGCAGATATCTAAATCTCAATCTCAACTTTTAAATAAGAGTTTTCCTCAGACTACAGCACAGCAAGAACACATTTAGAATTTTAATCAGCTCTCATGGAAAAACTTTACAAGTCTTCCGTTTCTTCTCCTCTGTGCAATTTCCATATGACCTCATTTTAAGAATATCCTTAACAAACATTCTGCTCTTTGCTCCGTCCTTTCACTGTGATGGCAAACATGTCACCAGAGCTGCAGGCCAGAACAGGCCTTGGAAATGCAATAGGGACTTGTATTATTCTTTGAGGGAGGTATAAAGACATATATTACCTTCAAATGAGATGATATTGTCGTTGGCCCAAATAATTTCCTCATCTCAATAAGACCTCACTAATTGGCAACAAAGTCAGAGGAGAAATCCTGTCATCCAAATTTTGTTTTTAAAGGAGCAGAGAAAGAAAAATCTCAAATTTTTTTAAAAATGCAGTTTTACTTCTACTTTTCTTTTTCCATGGGGAAGTGTTATTAACAGGGAAGGAAGAGTCAGGCTATAGGCCTTCCAAATAGCAGGAGATGCTATAGTAAAAAAGTAAAGCCACCTGCAATTACCCGATTATTAATTTCAGCATTCCCATGAGGTAGCTAAAGTAGCTGTCTGAGAGCCTGAGTCTTGGATTACTCTGCATTATAAAGAAAGAGATATAAATTCCCTCGTCTTGCAACAACAACAAAAAAAAAAACAAAAACAAAACCTGTTCCTTGAGACAGTACAAAGGAAGACCTTTACAGTAATGCTAAACTGGTTAGCTTACCAAATTATGAAAAAGTGAAATCTCAAAGGTGTTTTATTGGAAAAAAGAAGTATGAAACAGAAAAAACAACTTACCCAATATTTCTAGTGTTAAGTAAAGAAGAGAGCACTGTGTGTTTTCAGCATAATTTTCCAGTTCCTTGATGTTACGATATGCTTTGTCATCTAGATTTTTTTCCTACATCAAATAAAACGCAAATGAAGTCTATTGAATCGTCAGTATTTTATTAAAAAAAAAAGGTGCTGTTTTTTGCACCAAAGAACTGAATAATAACAAAAAAAAATTTAGTGTATGTTATTTAGTACACAATAAAATAAAACACGAAAATTAAAGTTCTACACATTCAATACTTTCAAATCACCATCTCAAAATAAGACACCAGGAATAATCTCAATGTACAAATCACCATGGACATGGCATTTTTAAAAAATTTTATCTAGCCGGGCGTGGTGGCTCACCCCTGTAATCCCAGCACTTTGCGAGGCCGAGGCGGGTGGATCACGAGGTCAAGAGATAAAGACCATCCTGGTCAACATGGTGAAACCCCGTCTCTACTAAAAATACAAAACATTAGCTGGGCATGGTGGCACGTGCCTGTAATCCCAGCTACTCAGGAGGCTGAGGCAGGAGAATTGCCTGAACCCAGGAGACAGAGGTTGCGGTGAGCCGAGATCGTGCCATTGAACTCCAGTCTGGGGAACAAGAGTGAAACTCCATCTCAAAAAAAAATAATAATAATAATACAAAATTAGCTGGGTATGGTGGCACATGCCTGTAATCCCAGCTACTCAGGAGGCTGAGGCAGGAGAATCACTTGAACCCAGGAGTCAGAGGTTGCTGTGAGCCAAGATTGCGCCATTGCACTCCAGCCTGGGTAACAAGAGTGAAACTCCTTTTCAAAAAAAAAAAAAAATTTATCTAAAGCCCATGTTATCAAAATCAACTTTACTGAGCTCTTACTTAAGCATTTTAGACATTATCTTCTTAACCCAAACAACCCCCCCACCAAGAGATAAGGAATTAATACTTTTCCCATTTTACAAATGAAGAAACTGAGGCATAGACACACTAAATAACATGTCCGAACACACACAGTTAATTAATAAATACCCACACATTCGACTCCTGAATCTACATGCTTAATAAGGAAAAGGTACCTGGAAAAAGAAAACAGAAACCAGTGCCCACCCCATCCCCCCAAATAAAACCATGCTCAAAAAAATAACAGGGTTGATTCCCTAAAAACACTATATTCGATAAACAGAAAAATGAGAATCTAACAGCAAGAACACTTAGCCACTTTCATAACAATACATTTACGAAGACTATTATTAGAGCAAAATATTATCCCCTATTTCACCCACTTTAAAAATCAAAAGAAATACACCAGCATCAAATGCCACATGCAAGATTAAAAAAAAAAAAAAAGAGGCCAAGTGCAGTGGCTCATGTCTGTAATCTCAGCACTTTGGGAGGCTGAGGCTGGCAGATCATGAGGTCAAGAGTTTGAGACCAGCCTGACCAACATGGTGAAACCCTATCTCTACTAAAATTACAAAAAAAAAATTAGCTGGGTGTGGTGGCACCATGGCTAACTTTAGTAATCCCAGCTACTCAAGAGGTTAAGGCAGGAAAACCACTTGAACCTGGGAGGGGGAGGTTGCAGTGAGACGAGATCACGCCATTGCACTCCAGCCTGGGCAACAGAGCAAGACTCTGTCTCTCAAAAAATAAAAAAAAGAGAGAGAGAGAGAGAGAGAGAGAGAGAGAGAAAAGAAACTGACACCACTGACACCAGCTATGATTCCAGAAAAAAAAATAAAAATGTATCCTTTATGTGTTTCTAAAAAAATTGAGATAATTTACACACCATAAAATTTATCCCTTTAAACAATACAATTCATTGGTTTTTAGTATGTACACACAGTTGTGCAACTATCACTACTATCTAATTCCAGAATATTTTAAGGACTCCCCCAAAAGAAAACTTGTATCCATTAATCAGATACTTCCCATTTCCCCCTCCCCTCAGCCCTGGCAAACCACTAATCTACTTTTTGTCTTCATGGATTTGTCTATTCTGGGCATTTCATAAAAATGGAATCATACAATATGTAGCTTTTTGTGTCTGGCTTCTTTCAATTAGCATTAGCATGTTTTCAAGGTTCATTCATCTATTAGTACTTCATTTTTTAGTTGAATAAATTATGAATAATATTCCATTGTATGGATATACAACATTTTGTTTAACAACTAATTAACAGACTATGAGTTCTTTCTACTTTTGTGCTATCATGAATAATGATGCTACAAACATTCACACTCAAGTTCTGTGTGAACGTGTGTTTTCATTTCTCTTGGGTACAAACCTAGGGGTAGAATTTTTGGGTCTATGATAACTCTGTGTTTAACTCTTTGAAGAAAAAATTGCCAAACTGTTTTTTCAAAGCAGTTGCACCATTTCTCATTCCCACCAGCAATGTCTGAAGGGTTTTAACATCTCCCATTCTCACCAATACTTGTTATTGTGCATCTTTTTTTTCAAATCACAGTCATCGTAACAGCTGTGATGTTTCTTTGTTTTGATTTGCATTTCTCTTAATGAAAAGATATTGAACATCTTTTCAGATGCTTGTTGGTCATTTGTACACACCTTATTTGGAGAAATGTCTACTCAAATCCTTTCCCCATTTTTAAATTGGGGTTCTTTTTTATTGTTGAGTTGTAAGAGTTTCTTGTATATTTTAGATAATAGTCCCTTATCAGATATATAACTGGCAAATAATTTTTTTCTTTCAGTCCAATTTATCTATTTTTTCTTTTCTTGCTTCTGCCTTTGGTATCACACCTAAGAAACCACTGCTTAACCTAAAAGTCACTAAGATTTACACCTATGCTTTTTCCTAAGAGTTTCACTCTTACATCTAGGTCTTTAATCTAGTTTGAGTTCATTTTTGTATATGGTATGAGGCAGGGGTTCAAACTTACTCTTTTGCAAGGGGTATCCAATTGCCCCAGTACCATTTGTTAAAAAGACTGTTCTTTCCCCACAGAACTGTCTTAATACCCTTGTTGCTCAATTGAATATAAATATATGGGTTTATATCTGGACTCTCATTTCTTTTCTTTTTTCTTTAATTGCATTTTAGGTTTTGGGGTACATGTGAAGAACATGCAAGATTGTTGCATAGGTACACACATGGCAGTGTGATTTGTGTGCCTTCCTCCCCATCACCTATATCTGGCATTTCTCCCCATGCTATCTTTCCCCAACTCCCCACCCACTGCTGTCCCTCCCCTATTTCCCCCTGACAGACCCCAGTGTGTGATGCTCCCCTCCCTGTGTCCATGTGTTCTCATTGTTCAACACCCGTCTATGAGTGAGAACATGAGGTGCTTGATTTTCTGTTCTTGTGTCATTTTGTTCAGAATGATGGTTTCCAGGACTCTCATTTCTATTCCATTGACCTATCTGTCTACCCTATATCAGGAATACACAATTTGATGACTGTAGCTTTGTAGTCAAGTTTTGAAATCAGGAAATGTGAGCCCTCTAACTTTGTTCTTCTTTGTTAAGATTATTCTGGCTCTCCTGGGCCCCTCGCATTTCCACATAAATTTTTGGACCAGTCTGTCAACCTCTGCAAAAAAGAAAGCTGAAATTTTGATAAGGATTGCATTGAATCTATAGACCAATGTTTATTCACAGTACTTTAAATATCCCCCCTTCAAAAGTCAAATGTTATTTTTCATTAAACTAAAATGGTATGTCTGTGTTGAGTTCTCTCATTTTCTTTACTTTGTAAAAACAGAAACAAAGACACCTGAAAATAGGCCATCTTAGCTAATATCTCTTTTTGGTTTCTTATTATTGCTATAGCCTATAGTTAGCAAACTGTATCTAAATAAGCTAAGTAAACTTACATTTCCATGACAACAGTATGTGATTAATATCAGGCCAAGGGGAAAACTGACCTAACAGTACATCAGAAATATCACACAAGTTAGGCCAGGTCACACAGCAATTCACGGACTTGGCTGGACCTAGAACCCAGTTCTAAGAATTTAGTACAGGATTCCATTCACTGGAACTGTCAGACTTTCTTTATGCCCTCTACTATGTAGACACAGATCCAAGTACTGGGGTATACATAAAGGTATTTGATTATGTTGGGAATAATTAGTAATTTTTAAGATATGATAATCATATTATGGTTATGTTTTTGTCATTATCTTTTTAAGATACATATGCATTTGCAGATCAAATGATAAGATATCTGGGATTTTCTTTAAAATAATCCAATGCAGATTAGTGACAGGAGTTGGCAGAATACAGATAACACAAGATTGGCAATGTGCTGATAACTACTAAAGCTGGTGACAGATACATGTAAGCATAAAACCAAAAGAGTGGATTGTGGTTGTGCATACATATGCCTCTGCCTGGGTGCCTGTCTGTCTCAATGTGAGGGTATTGGGGGCTGATGTGGGTAGCATACAAGGGTAAAGTATGGATAAAATGGCATAGTTCTCTAAAAGTTTCCTTTATCCAAAATATTAATATACAATCAAAATATTTCCTTCCTGAACAATTAGCTTCAGGATTAAACAGGAAGCAAAAACTTAAGACTTGAACAATTTCAACTTACTCTTTCATCAATGATGTTCATAAGCCATCTTTTAGTCAGATTATGTCTTTTAACAGCCTAAAAAACAAACAGTGTTATAAATTTTTAGAAAGTACTAGAAATGACTTCTGTAGATCTGAACAAAAAAACAAACCAAATACAAAACTAAGTAAGGGAACATTTGTAATAACTCATCACCAGATAGACAGCTATGGTAAAGAAATATCAGGGGAAAAGAAAATGTCCTTAGAAAATATTTTAAAACATTTATAAGATTATATTTCTAATACTTTTCTACTAACTTGTCTTCTTTTCCTATACTGCTAGTAATTTAACAATTCCACTTTCAAACAAAAACAAAACCAGAATTAAGCATTAAGTACTGAACTTCTCTATTACGTGATATACCCTGCCTTTTTTTTTTTTTTTTTTTTTTTTTTTGTAGAGACAGGGTCTCACTATGTTGCTGGTCTTAAATTTCTGGGTTGAAATGATCCTCCCACCTCAGCCTCCCAAAGTGCTGGGATTACAGGTATGAGCCACTGTGCCTAGCCACCCTGACTTGTATGCTTACTCATTACATGCGAATTTTTTTCCACAGGATAAAGATTCTACTTAGCAAAAATAACCACTTCTTGAAAAATAGAGTGACAAAAACTCCAACAAAAATAGTCTGCATGGCCGGGCGCGGTGGCTCAAGCCTGTAATCCCAGCACTTTGGGAGGCCGAGGCAGGTGGATCACGAGGTCAAGAGATCGAGACCATCCTGGTCAACATGGTGAAACCCAGTCTCTACTAAAAATATAAACATTAGCTGGGCATGGTGGCGCGTGCCTGTAATCCCAGCTACTCAGGAGGCTGAGGCAGGAGAATTGCCTGAACCCAGGAGGCGGAGATTATGGTGAGCCGAGATCGCGCCATTGCACTCCAGCCTGGGTAACAAGAGCGAAACTCCGTCTCAAAAAAAAAAAAAAAAAAAAAAAAAAGCAAACTCCCTCTAAAAAAAAAAAAAAAAAAAAAAAATAGTCTGCATGGTAAACTGTTACTTTAGCAAGTAAAGACATTCCAGTAGGAAAGAGCACATCTAGTATCCAGACACTTGTCTCTACTACCATTCTCCTTAAAGGAATCAAGGCTGTGGAGAAATGGGCGATTCCAAAGGTGGGGTAGGAGAGAGATTCAAGAGTATCCTAGAATATCTTATTGTGCCAGAAAATAAGAAAGTGCTCCAAAAAAATGATGGAAGCATGTCACAGGGACATAGCAGCCAGTGTGAAGGGGTTCCCACCGTCCAAGGCTGGGACAACCTGAACACCAAAATCAGTACATGAGTGAATTATAAACTATAAAAAGCAAGAAACCATGAGTCTATACCAATAATTAATAAACAAATAAATATATGAAAATAAGAGCTCATTCTTATAGCAAAACACTAAGTGCCAACTGGTATATGTGGACCAAGTGCTGAAGTTGAGAAGTTACCATTCTACAACCGTAAGAGTAAAGACTGAAACATTAATGGCTACTAAGTTTAGGGAGAAATTTTGATGAGGAGCAGGATATTTGCAGTCTTAAAGTCTCTCCTCAAAAACTGTTGATTATTTCAAGCAGAATTATACAGTGGGAAAACCAGGCAAAATTGTGACTAAGTAAATCGAAAGTAACCATGCTATAAAGGACAGGTGGACGAAGTGTGTCTCTACATGTGATACACTGAGAAGGATATACCACCTATGAAGTATAGATTCCAGCTAAGAATCCGTGACCTCAATCTAATCGTGACAAAACATCAGACAAGTCCAAAATTAGTGTCGTATTTTAAAAAGACAGGATTGGGGGGGATACTCTTCAAAAATGTCAGTGTCATAAAAGGCTAAAAAAAATGCTATGGAGGGGAGAAATGCCAGATGTAGGTGATGGGGAGGAAGGCAGCAAATCACACTGCCACGTGTGTTCCTATGCAACAATTTTGCATGTTCTTCACATGTACCCCAAAACCTAAAATGCAATAAAATAAATAAATGGGGAAAAAAAAATGCTATGGAAATGTTCCATATTAAAACAAACTACAGAAACATGACAATTAAGTACTTGACCCAAGATTGGATCCTGTACTGGAAGGGAGAAATGATATTGTGGACATTATTAAGTTATCTGACAAATGTGGAATACGAATGGAAAATTAGATGGAATTGTTCTACCAAAGTTAAATTTACTAAAGCCAATAACTGTTCTGGCCAGGCACAGTGACTTACGCCTGTAATCCCAGCACTTTAGGAGGCCAAGGCAGGAGGATCACTTGAGCTCAGGAGTTCAAGACCAGCCTGGGCAACACAGCAACCTCATCTCTACAAAAACTTTAGAAATTAGCTGAGCGTGCTGGTGTATGCTTGTAGTTCCAGCTACTCAGGAGGCTGAAGCAAGAGGATAAACCCCAGGAATTCAAGGTTGCAGTGAGCAATAATCACCCCATTGCACTCCAGCCTGGGCAACACAGTGAGCTCCTGTCTCTGGAAAAAAAAAATAGAAATTAAAAAAATAACTATTCTGATTATATGTAAGATAATATCACTATTCTTAGAAAATATTAGGACAGGCACAGTGGCTAATACCTGTAATCCCAGCACTTTGGGGGTACAAGACAGGAGGACAGCTTGAGCTCAGGAGTTTGAAACCAGCCTGGGCAACATGGTGAAATGCCATTTCTACAAAAAAAAATTAGCTAGGTGTGGTGGCAGGTGCCTGTAGTCCCAAGCTACTCGGGAAGCTGAAGTAGGAGGATGGCTTGAGCGCAGGAGGAGGTGGAAATGGCAGTGAGCCGAGATCACGACACTGCACTTCAGCCTGGGCAACAGAGTGACACCTGTCTCAAAAAAAAAAAAAGAAAGAAAATATTTACTAAGGCCAGGCATGGTGGCTCACGCCTATAATCTCAAAGTGAGTGGATCACTTGAGCTCAGGAGTTCAAAATCAGCCTGGGCAACACAATGAGACCGCATCTGTACTAAAAATTTAAAAAAAAATCAGCCGCATGTGGTAGCACGTGCCTGTAGTCCCAGCTACTTGGGCCTGGGAGATCAAAGCTGCAGTGAGCCGAGACTGTACCACTGTACTTCAGCCTGGATGACAGAGTGAGACCCTGTGTCAAAAAAGAAAATATTCACTAAATTTTTTAGGTTAGGATTATGATGTATATAACTTACAATCAAATGAGTCACACAAAAAAATTATGAATGTGAATACATATATGCGGGAATAGGGGAAGGAAGAGCGGAGAAGAGAAAGAAAGTGCACATGTGAGTGAGGACAAATGATTAAACAAATGGCATAAAATATTAACAATAGGTGAACCAGGCACAGTGGCTCACACCTGTAATCTCAACACTTTGGGAGTCCAGGGTGGGAGGATGGCCTGAGCCCAGGAGGCCGGGTGAGGCAACACAGTGAGACCTCATTTCTTCAAAAAAATTTTTTTAATTAGCCAAATTTGGTGGCACACGCCTGTGGTCCCAGCTACCCAGGAGGCTAAGGCAAGCAGATCGCCTGAGCTCAGGAGGTTCAGGCTGCAGTGAGCCATGTTTGCACCATTCACCATCACACTCCAGCCTGGTGAATCTGGGTAAACGGTATAGAGGTGTTTGTCCTGCTTTGAATTCTGTAACCTTTCTGAAAGTTTGGAATTATTTCCAAGTAAGTTTTTAAAATGTTTTTTTGTCTGCCGTGTCAACATTAAGTATATTTTCACAATAAATAAATATAGTAGTGAAACATAAGATCTAGGGATATGCTATACTTCAACTAAGACTCTCAGATGTCACTGATAGTAAAATGCAAAGGCCAGCATGTTCATCAATACGCATTACATGACAAAGGTGTATGCATGGATAATTAAGCCCCCTTTGCCTGGCAGGAATCTAACAGATGCTAAAAGGGTTGCATGGTGTTAATTCCAAAGTGTTTTCGGCACTACTCCTACTCCTGCCCCTACTACTACAACATGGCAGCACTCTTGCTATAGGCCTCTCTCCCAAATCCCAGGAATCAGCCGATGGGTCATTAAGGATTCCTGTTCTTG